CTCACCTTATGTAAGTAGAGTTATTCTATCCATTTAATTTAGTTCTATATAACTCCTATAACCTCCTCATATAGTTTTATAGTTCTTCGTGTTATAACTCCTATAACATAGTTTCCTTTTAAAATATATTACTCTTTCTTATTGTGCTTATCCTATAGGTTCGTATCATCGTTATGCTCACGTCCCCTACTTTATATATCATTTTCAAAGAGTTTCTTAACTTATTATCTTCTGATTTATATTTTATTCTCTTAAACATTCTCATAGTCACATATAACTTCATGACTTATCACTTATGTAATTTACATTGCATTCTTATATATATATATGTATCACAATAAACCTTGTCTTAATTATTCTATCAGTAATCTATACCTACATGGCTTGTCTCTTACAATAATATCTTTATATATCTTATTTTATGATCCCCCATTATCTTATAATAATATTTTACTTACATCATATATCAAATACAAAACATATCAACATACAACACATATACTCATATCAAAACATGCTTATATCCATTAATTTATGCATTCTAATATAGGAAATATACTTGTCGCAAGTCATATTTCCTTTACACATCATATAACTAGCATGCACTCACCTGGCCTCACTAGTCAATACCAATCTCTAAACTTTCCCCTTGATCGATCTTACTTGTCAATGATTCTGGAACTTGTTTAGGCTCTGTATCTACATAATTATACATTTTAAGGCAATTATCAGATACCTACACCTTGTAATCCGATACTAACAACTTAAATGAACTTAATAAACTAATATTAACTTTTTCCTTTAGGGGTGTACCGATGCACTATAGGTGCATCGGTACACAAAATAGATTCGAAGTATTGATGCATCGATGCACCTTCAAAATTTGTCTTGGTGCATCAGTGCACACTCATAGTGTATCGATGCATTCCTGGCATTCGATGTTTCTTCTTTTAAGCATGCATTGGTACATATTGAATGTGTACCGATGCATCTTGTCCAGAAATTGCTCTTTAGGCATGAAAATCCATTTAATTAAACTCAAATGCTTCATATTTTATCCCCTTTCAAATTCCTAACTTACATATACATGTTTAAACTCATTTATATTCATTTATCTCATCTTGAACCTTAATATCCTCTCCTCTTTATTAAATTCAAGAATCATACCAGATTTTCAACATGTTTTAAAACTCATTTTATCACTTCATATCTCTTAATTTAACCTTTGACAAATCAAATTCAACTTCAAAATCTATTAACTCCTTCTATTTCACTAATTCACTTAAAAACTCTTCATATTTAATCCTTCATAACTCATCCATTTTGAAGTTTCAACATACTTTAATCTCTAAATAATCTTTCTTAGCACCCCAAGAATCAAAACTAAGCTTAAAACTCAAGAATTAACCAATTGAAATTAAGCTCACCTTTGCCATGGAGCTTACGGGAAGAAGAAAGCAAGAAGAATGATAAGCTTTCAGACTTCTCCCTTAAATCCCACGTGTTTTTCCTTAAATAAAGAAGAGAAAATATCTTTAATGTTGAAAAGACCATAATAACCTTCATTCTTTATGTCCTTGCAATTTAATCCACTACTCAAATAGTCCTATTTAATTTCTTATACTTTTTAATCTTTCAAAAAAAAATTCTCACAGTTCCAAAATTTTTATTTTAGTCATTAACCCCAATTTTGGGATATTACATGTTTTATTCTCTTATGTTCACATGACATATAATGCATACAAATTATATTCACATATATGCCTTTACTCATGAATTCATCTATCATACAAATCATGTCATCTCTTGTTCTCATATGCTTCACATTCATCACATATATCACATAGCACATATAAGCACATATCAGTTCATATAATCAAGTATACGTACATTTCATGTCATTCACATCCTTATAATCAATACTCCATACATTGTAACTATTGGAAATAGACTTATCACAAGTCCAATTCCTTATAATCCTATAAACTAAAATGCACTCATAAGAATCATATCAATCATATAACATTTTAGGAGTCACTTCTTACCATAGTAACTCCGTCACTGGCTCATCACAAGCCAATGTTTTTCGATAGCATAAGTACAATTAAATTGCACTCACCTTAGCCTTGCTTTGATTCGATCCTAACTCTTTGATTGTTCCGGAACTTGTTTAGGCTCAATATCTACATAAACATAATTTCCGAAACCATTATCAAAAGCCTAAACCTTATAACTTGGTATTAATAACTTAGGCTAATTTAATGAACCAAAATTCCATTTTTCCTTTAGGGGTGTATCGATGCACTATGGGTGCATCGGTACACAAAATAGCTTCGAAATTTCCATACATCGATGCACCTTCAAAATTGTCTTAGTGCATTGGTACACACTCATAGTGCATCGATGCACCTGTCCAAAATAGGCTATTTTCACCCAAAATTAATCAATACTTCACCCAAATTTTCATGTATAAAATCATTATTATGCTACTAAACTCATCTATAACAACTTTATCTAGTTTTTATCATTCCAACACTTTATAATCTTTCATATTTCATCCAAATTCTTAAGGTTACGAATCATACCTAATTTTCCATGTTATCCAAACTTAATTCTAACACTTCTAACTTCTTATTCTCATGGATGACAAGTCAAATTCATCTTCCAAATTCATTTAAACATTCTTATTCAAAATTCCACCTAAAACCCCATTTCCTTTAATCTATCATAACTCCTTTATCTTTTGATTTTAAGATAACTTAAGCTTTCCTTAAGCTTAGTTATCATCTAATGATCAAAACCCAAGCTTTAAATCAACAAATAATCAACAAATTCGAAAATTTACCTTTGCAAGCTTGACTCTCTCTTTCTCTCGTATGATGAAGAAGAAGAAGGAGATGAAGTGGAGAAAATATCATCATCCTTATCCCCTCATGCCTATATATCATTTTATTATAATTTTCAAGTCAAATGACCATTTTGCCCTTTAATTCTTTTAATAATTAATAACAACTTTCAGGAAATATCTCCACATAAATCATTGAACTATTCTACTTTAATCATCAAATTCTAAAATTTTACAATTTGATCACTAACCCGTAGTTTGGGATGTTACATTCCGAATTTGAACATCATGCATGTCAGAGGTATGAGTGTACGATATTAAATGGTTGAGTGTTTTTATCAAATACTACCTTATATTTACTTTAGATTAATATTTTTTTTAAATATTTTAAATATAAATTATTATTTAATACTTTGTTTTTATATAAATAAATAAATTTAACTTTTGATTTATCAAAATAATAAGATCATCGAATTGAGTATAATGTACTCAACGAATGATTTTTACATGTGATATTTGCGTTTGTTCGTAACATTACAGTTTATGTGTGTTTGGTTAGATTTTTTTTTAACAATTCACCCGCTACTAATAAGATTGAGAAATGCTCACGTGCCAGTCTTAATATATGGCTAAAACAATGCGTTATCAGTTTTTTTATTATTTTAAATAATAAAACCGGTAAAAAATGACTGAAATTATTATTATTTCTACCGATTTTGTTATTATTATTAATTACTGATATATGTAAACACGATAGAAAAACCCGGTAAAACAAATAATGTTTTCTGTAAAGTGCTACCTAAAACATTATTTTTTTACCGGATTTTTTCTACCGAGTTTACATATATCGGTAATTAAAACCAGTAGAAATAATAATATTTTCGATCATTTTTTACAGGTTTTGTTATTTAAATAATAACAAAACTGGTAGCGTCTTTTTTAAACCGTATATTAAGACTGTCACACCGTAGAACTTCCCAATAAGATTTGAACATATTATTGATATTCATGTACAAACAAAATAATTTTAATGATTAAAGAGATGATTGTTATTTGTAGAGATTTCGAGTTTAAACACAATATCTATAAGAATATTTAAATATGTTCATTGTCAAACGATTAAGAGTATTTTTAACCAATACGACACTATAATCACTTTAAATTAATTAAAAATTAAATTTAATAGATTAAATACTTTAAACTACTTGGTTTTTTCAATAGTTTAATTATAATTCAATTTTTTAAAATTAAATTATTTTTTACATATTTTAAATCAAATTATATATATGATGTAATTTAAAATTTTTCAGTCAAACTCGGTTTCATCTGCCCCTCATTCGAGGCAGTTTTGGCTCCCAAACCATCTATCTGCCTAAAATTAGGTAAAAACAGTAATTATATTAATATATTGTACTTTGTTACAATTATTTGCTTTAATTTCGGTAATCTTTACTTCTAAATTTGATAAATCCTTTATCACTTCAATTAATCGCACATAGAAGTGAGACTTATTCACTTCATTTTTATTTTATTTTATTTTATTTTCATATCATTCGTCACGAAAATAAGATTTTAAAAGTTTTACTTTTATGTTATATCGATATTCGAACAGTCGTTCTTTAATAGCTTCTCCGATTATTCAAAATATGTATAAATTTGTCCCACCGTCCTGCACCACTGTATCGATTTAGATATTTTTTTTTCAAAATCAATTGAAAACTCGCAAAATTCAACCATATACTCAATGAAAAACAACTATAGCCTGCAATTTTAATTATCCGGTCAACGTAAAATCAAGATATATATTTTATCTTTTTCACTTCTTTACTGTTGAAATTTTGAAGAAGATGATCCATCATCAAAAAATCAAAGAGAATCCGAAAAATTAGATTTTAAAAATATTAGAAATTTTTTTATATAAAAATTGAAGAAAAATTTTGGACCTTTTCATAACTAAAAAAGAACATATATATTGTCGTAATTTCATTAACTATTTAACGGTAAAATAATCAATCATGAACATTTCAAAAGTTAAGTGGTCAAACTGAAAATTATTAAAATTGAATGGTCAAAACTTGAATATAGCCAAAGTTGAGTGATGAAGAGCATAATTTACCCATGATACTATTGTCAACTTTCAATGGAACATCCCTTACAAATCAATGGTAAATATTTTATTACATCAGAAAAGCCAATACAAATCAGAGATTTTGCCGGCTAAGAAGACAGATCTAGAGACAACAACAGTCTCTGATAGATAGAAATAAAATAATCTTAAAACTAGATGCAAATCAAATGCCCTATGCCACTGTTGGCATGTCCTTGAGCCAGAAAAAGCCCTATACCACTGCTGGCATGTCCTTGAGCCAGTCATCCAATGGCTTCCCAATAGAGTAGACAATAAATCCGATTTTCCTCAGTTTCTCCACATCGACAACGTTCCGACCATCGAACACGAATGCAGGCTTCTGCATGTTATCAAAAATCTTTTGGTAATCAAGCTTTTGAAACTCATCCCACTCAGTGAGAATGCAAAGCCCATGAGCATCCTTTGTTGCAGTATATGCATCCCAAACGACACTAACATCTGTGACCGAGGTAGGACTCATCGGCTGAAGATGAACCGGATGGTCCCAGTCGAACTTCTTCATCGAAAGATCCCTCTGAATCTGGTCTTGGTTAACTTGAGGGTCGTATATGCTTAGTTTAGCCTTGTCACCTATTAGCCCTTTGCACACATCGATTGCCGGTGTCTCCCTGGTGTCACCGGTGTCTTTCTTGAACGCGAATCCAAGAATGGCAATCTTCTTTCCCGAAACCGTGTTGAACATTGAGGAAACTATCCGGTTTACAAACCGGGTTTTCTGGTAGTCGTTCACCTTAATGACTTGTTTCCAGTAATTGGCTACCTCAGGGAGGCCGTTGCACTCACAGATATAGACCAAATTCAGAATATCCTTTTGAAAACAAGATCCACCAAAACCAACACTGGCATTCAAGAACTTGGGTCCTATTCTCGTATCCTTCCCGACAGCATGAGACACTTGGCTCACATCAGCGCCAGTTGCCTCGCACAATGCCGACATAGAATTAACCGAAGAGATTCTCTGAGCCAAGAAGGCATTGGCAGCCAGCTTGGAAAGCTCCGCAGACCAGAGATTGGTGCATATAATTCGGTCCACGGGGACCCAATGTGCATACACGTCCCTCAATGTTTCAATGGCCTTTTTACCTTCCGGGGTCTCCCTGCCACCGATAAGAACACGGTCAGGGTTGAACAAATCCGAAATCGCAGTCCCTTCAGCAAGGAATTCAGGGTTGGAAAGGATCTGAAAGTTGATCCCTTTGCTATTGTGTGTCAAAATTTTCTCGATCGCCTCGGCTGTTTTAACAGGGACGGTCGATTTTTCGACCACAATCTTGTTGGATTTCGCTACATCGGCAATCATTCGAGCAGCACTCTCCCAGTAGGTCAAATCAGCGGCTTTCCCCGCTCCGAGACCTTGGGTTTTCGTCGGGGTGTTGACCGAGACAAACACTATATCAGCTTCGGAGACATGTTTTTCGACATCAGTGCTAAAGGAAAGGTTTTTGCCCCTGCATTTCTTCACCACCTCATCGAGGCCAGGCTCGTAGATGGGGAGTGTATCACTGTTCCAGGCATTGATTCTAGCTACAGATATATCCACAACAGCCACTTGAATGTTGGGGCATTTCAGCGCAATGACGGCCATTGTCGGACCGCCGACATATCCAGCTCCGATGCAACAGATCTTCACCATTTTTTATTAAAAAAACTGCTCCTGAAACAAGTGATTGATTGAACATCCACATTAGCAAATATTAATATCTAAGCTACAATGTATTCACAGCTACAATGCAAGACGAACATTGATGAACCTGTGGTTCTAAAAATGAAAAAAAATAAAAAATAAAGGACTCTAACAGGCTAAAAACAAGGCAATCAATTAACAGGAAGTCATAATTGCAGTAAACAGAACGCGATGGAAAACAACAACAGATCCAGCAATTAAAGGAAACCCAGAAAATCAAAACAGGAAATGAAATGGGAAATTAAATTACCTTTGTGGGGTTTCAGCTATTCGATCAAAGAAAGAAGAACAAGAAGAAAAGGGAACAGAAAACCTTAGGATAGAAGCGGGAAAGGTTCTTCAGGCGAAGAATGAGGAAACCTAAACACCTCCCCACTGTTTATATACTATATTCAACATACATTCGGGTGATTTGCATCCCGTTTTCATGGCCAATATTGCATTTTCTTTTGGATAAACTACACTATAGGTCGTTGAACTTTGTAAAAAGGATTTGTTTCGTCAACAATCTTCCAATTATTATAAAATAATCATTAACCTTTTCAAATGATTACAAAATAGTCATTAACATTTATCAAATTATTACAAAATTATCTTTAAACATATCAAACTTTTACAAAACAATCCTTAAGTTGGTCTAAATTTATTATTAGTTCTACGTTGCAGGGAATCCTTTTGTAATCATCTAAGAAGTTTAATAATTATTTTGAAATATTTGATAGAATGCTAACTAAAGATCATTTCAAATAGTTCATAACCTCTAATATATTTTAAATATAAAATTAATTAATTAAAACACATTTATGAGTTGGGTTGTATTACTTTAGTTAGATGGATCGGAGGGGTATTGAGGTAATTGTACCCTTTAAAAATCTTAAATTCATATATACTTTATATGTATTTTTGTATTATCTATTGATGATCGAATTCACATCGTGAAAATTGTAATTTTACACATCTTAATTTTTAATAAAACTTCTTAAAAATTCATACCCTAACCCAAAACCTTATGTTTGTTTCTGAATGTATTTAAAGAGATCAATCCATATTATTTATAAGTGTCCAACCAATCATATATTTGTAAAATTTTCATTTATTATTTTCTTTAATTTGTAAAATTACGTTCACATAATATATCAAGTCATTTCATTTGTTAGCATATATGGTTTGCAATTGCAGTTATACTCAGAACAAGAAAATAGTATTTTTCATATTGCATTCGCGTTATTTAAAGTGGAAGAATGGATTTATAAATGTTTTGGGCCAAAGTGCAATATTTCCACTGGATTAGATTGTAATTGTACGAGTGCTTAAGGGACTAAAGGGTAAAATGTTCGTTTCCCCCCTCTACCTTCTTCCTCAATTTCTCCCAACGTTGTCTTTTCTAAGATTCGAGGTCAGGGGTACATCAAGTGGTTGGAGAGACTTTGACCTCTTGGTTAAATGGTCTAATTGCTTGAGTTTTAGTCTTTCTTAAATATATATATATATAGTTTAGTTCTTTTTAGCCAAAAACAAATGGAAAATCGTAATGTTGGTCCCTCCAACAAATAAATAATTCAATTTAATTTATTTTAAAATAAAAGTATAGCTTCAAACTTATCTCAACTCTCAATAAATGTACACGAAAAGTTGATAGAAAAGGTTGATTCCTATCCTTGGACCACTTTTCGTGTCATTATGGGTTTAAAAGGAGGACAGAAGAGAAAAGCTGGGCTTGAAATTGATTTGGGGCCTAATAACAAAGCAAGTGTACCTTGTTCAAACCTCCTTTCAAAGAACATGCCATGAAAGTGAAAGGATTATGAGTAGGAATGGATACGAAATTCAGATTTAATTAGTTTTAATTTGATTTTATCGGATTGAATTGATTTTTAAAAAAAAATAAGTTTGGATCGAGTTTATATTTAGAATACATTTTTTATTTGATCCTACCATATATAATAATGTAATTATCCATTATATATTTAGAAATAATTGCATAGGATTAAATTCAAATTGGACTTAATTTTATAGGATTGAGTTTTTTTTCTTTGGATAGAGTTCCAATTTAGGGAGAAAATTTCTCAATTTGATCCCATTAGATATAATAATGTAAGTATCCCTTACATATTTAGAAATAATTGTAACAATATTTCTCTCTCTATTTTTTTAATTAAGTCTCTATTTATTGAATAATATATATATTAGATGAGATTGCGAGTTTTTACCTCCCTAAATTATATCAGAAGTCAAGTAAAACCTCTCTGAAACTCGAATTAAGTTAGACAGCAGGTAGAGAATATAATACTCAAGTTAATTTAAAATAGACACCAATCTCTTAATTTTTTAATTGTTTTTTAAAGGAATTGTTGTTATTCCTTGAGGTTTCGGGTCCGAACAACATCAATGTTAAGAGTGCGAGCGTTCAATATCAAATGATTTAGAGTTATCTTTGAACAAATACTACCTTTACTTACCCAGATTAATTACTTTTTTTAATTTAAATATATTTTTAGTTTCTATCAGTTTTGAAATTAATAAAATTAATTTAGAATTAATTTATTTGCATATCCAACATTAATTATACATAAAACAGAATCCAAAAAAGTAAATAATCATCAAGTCAAGACACATAAAATTTAATTACATGCTGATTCAAACAAATGTATGTCTTACACATTGATAACCTTCATTTAATTTATTTCCAAATTAATATTTAAGATTCCCTCCCCTTTCACACTATTTAATCACACAAATCTTGTTCTTAGGCAAATTATCAAGCAGCAAATCACTAATACAAAGCTGGCGAGGAACGTGAAATGGCCGCAAATTATACTTTGGGGTTCATCTTCATGGTTAAGCTCTTGAGCTTGTTCTTGATCTTTGTGATTGCTGGTTCGCAGTCAAATGATGAATATTGGAGAACAGCCCATGCAACTTTCTATGGTGATATGAATGGGACAGAAACAATGTGTAAGTTTCGGGATGTATGTATGCATGCATGTATGTATCTTGTGTTTTGATTGCTTGAGTTATTTTGACATATGGTGCTTGTGGCTATGGTGATCTTATACAACAAGGTTATGGTCTAGCAACGACGGCCTTAAGTACAGCTCTCTTCAACGACGGTCTAACCTGTGGAGCCTGTTTCGACATCCGGTGCTATAACTCGAGACAGTGGTGCCTAAACCAGACCATTGTAACTTCTGCCCTCCGAACTACAGTAAACCAGAAGGAAATTGGTGCAACCCACCATTGAAACATTTTGATCTATCCCAACCGATGTTCCGAGAGATTGCTATTTATCAAGCCGGCATTGTTCCCGTCATTTATCAGCGTGTCCCATGCGTTAAAACGGGCGGTATTAAGTTTGAAATCAAGGGTAACCAATGGTGGATACTGGTGTTGGTGTACAATGTGGCAGGAGCCGGTGATGTTATAGACGTTAAGATCAAGGGTTCTGGTACGGATTGGATTCAGATGTCACGGAATTGGGGCCAGAATTGGCAAACTTCGGCTAATCTTATCGGCCAAAGCTTGTCGTTTCAGGTGACTACGAGTGACGGTAAAATGGTGGAGTCCGATGATATTGCACCGTCTAATTGGCAATTTGGTGGTGTTTATGAAGGAAAACAATTTTAGATCTAAGGCAATTTTACAACTGCATGTTCATTAACAATTGTAATGGATTGAATAACAATTAATATTACAATCTAAACTTCAGAAACATCACGAATCAGAACCGTTAACGATTCAAGTTTCGATTTTCTTACAGCATCTTGTTCGACAACAATCAATACGTTCCTTGTAAAAGAATAATTTCCATACAACTATTCTATATGTTGCAGCCTGCAACAACGTGTTTTCCTAAGGATGTACAGCTGCAATTAGTTTTTAAGCTAACGCAAGGAAGTTCTTGAACCATTTGACAGAGTCCTTGGGGTACCTCTTGAGATTGTCTTTATAGTCGACGAAATATAGGCCGAATCTTGCTGTGTACCCAGCTCCCCACTCCCAGTTGTCGAGCAGTGCCCACACGAAATACCCTTTAACATTGCAACCATCTTCCCTGCAAAGTTTGGTATTCATTATATGATCACAAGCATATATATGCATTTATGTAATCGTCGAACATAGATGTCGATAAGGGATCATTATATACTTGATAGCAGCTAGCAGGTTAGTTAAGTAATCGTTGTGGTACCGGATTCTTTTCTCATCCTTGAGAGCATTTTTAGTGGAGATGAATGGGCTGTTCGGGTCATCGTAACCTGTCATAAACGTTCACAAAGAAGGAAATGTTCAGATCTTGTTATTGGAAGGCAATCCAAAAGTGGAACTAACTTCATTACCATTTTCCGTAATGATGACCGGAGGGTTTCCGTATTTTTCCTTGACGTAATTCATTAAGCTTCGCATACCACGGGGTACTACGTATATCCATATAGAATTCGCCTGCAATATGACAGAAGGATAATTATGTACTCAAGTTGAACAACAAGAATGAAAATCCGGCTTCTGTACCTTTTCTCCTGAAGCTTTCCCATTTCTGAAAGCTGCATACATTAAGAACAAAGGTGTGTAGTCGGTTAGTTACTAGCGTACAGACAAAATAAAAAATCAGTACTAAAAGATGTTCACTTACGTGACGTAAAGGTACCGGAGTCGGCAACAGTGTCGTGTAGTAGATTGCTGATCAGATTAGTTTTGTTTTCTCTTGCATACCAGGTGGTGTAATGATTAATGCCAACAAAATCCAAAGAACCCTTGAGAAGAGCGGATTCAGCTTTAGTAAACCTCGGCAACCGGCTTCCTACTCTGGTTATCATCGAACTTGGATAATCTCCGAAAATCAATGGGTCCAAAAACCTGCAGACATCAAAGAATTACATCACTCCAGAGTAAGATATCTTGAATACTACGAGATGATAGTATGATAGCATGCACAATCAGTTCTTTTTTACAAAATAGAACCCCAATTCTAATTCTATGTAAAGGGATGTTCGGGATGATTGAGTAATTGGAGTTACCAGCCAAGCTGAAAATCTTGAGCTCTTTGAGCTGCTTCAATGTCTTCAGTTGAATTAGTCTCTGGTTCATACCAAATCACATTAAATGATACCCCAACCTGTCCATGTTGCTTTGCCTGCATAGCAACAAATTGCTCTTAGATGCTGGCTACGTACTCTAATGTGAATCAAATCTAAAGTAACCCGATTTTCACTAAAGTAACACGATAGTATCCCGGGTTTTACCTTGTATTTTTTCCTGTAAATATCCACTGCAGTAGAATGAGAAAGGAGCACATTATGGGCAACTGTGTAAGGCTCGGTTGAAGAGTCTCCGGCTTTGCAGAACAGATG